GACAGAAGCTGCCAGCCTACGGGGGGTGGTGGGGAGGAGCAGAGGGGCAGGAGAGGCGCATCTCCCCAGGGTCCTGCTTGCCGTTCCAGACTCCCCCAGACTCCCCCAGGGTTGCCCTGCAGGCTTCCAGATGGAGCCAGGCCATGGTGGGCAGGGAGCTGGGCCTGGGTTGTGCAACCAGGTCTGGCTGGTGACTCTCAGGATGTGAGGCTGCACCTCTGTGTGTGCAGGGGGCCACACTCTGGCCTCCTGTTTCCCCAGGATGCTGGGCACAGCTCCGGCCTCAGCTGTCACAGTGGGCGGCCTGTCCCTGTGCATGTTCTGAGCATGGCAGGCACCGTGCGGTGGAGGTCAGGCTGGAAGGGGAGATAGCTCTGTGTGGGTGGCTGTTTTATGGGCTCGTGGGGCGCCTCTGCTACAGATGCAAAGTTCAACTTAACTCCCTATGTGCCCAGACCCTTCCCAGGGCCTGCAGCCCCTCCCTGGCTTGGGGGGTGGGGGCTCGTTGAGGCCTAGGCTTCCTGCTCCCCCATCTTCTGTGAGTTTGCTCTAATTTCTCCATGGACTTTGCTCCTGATTCCAATTTTTCCCTTTGAGCATCTCAGAATCACCTCCCCCAGGAAAGTTTCTAGACTCTTGGGGCTGGCGCTGTTTCCTCAGTGGCTTACTTGTGTCTCTTGTGCCCATGAACATTAATCGACAAGCAACCAGACCCATTGCTATGGGCATGGCTGTGGAGTCACCACTTGGGCTGCTGGCCTCTGCCATCTTACCCTATAAAGCAGGATTCAATTCCCAGAAGCAAAATCTCCATCTAAATCCCTTTGCCAGGTCAGGCAAGCCTCCTATTGATAGTGAAAAACCTTTTTTTTTTTTTTTTTTTTTTTTAATATAATGATCTCATATTCGGTTCCAGGAAAGATTGCTCATGGCCAGGTCAGGCCCCAGGCCCCTCTTACCGTTGTATGAGCTTTGCTTGAAAAGTTCCTCTACAAGCCTCTGGATTCTCCAGAGAAGCTTTCTTAGAGTGTAGACGATGACTAGGGCCACCTGGGGGGATTACTGTTTAATTTCAGTCCAGAGGGAATTTCTGTGTTTATCAGGCGCATCTTGGTATTTTTTTTGCTCTGGGCTTCATAAATATCACATTGGTGCACTGAGTTGATGAAATACTTTATTTGCAAGGTGTGACCAAAAGGTTTGGTCCTGGACTCCAGGAGGCAGGACATGTAATGGGGGCATAGTTTGGGGACAGCCATGTGGATGAGCCCTGCCTCAGGATGTGGCAGGCCCTGGAATGTACTCTCATCTCTTGGACTTCAGTCACCTTGCCCGTCAAATAATCTCTTCTTGCCAGGTGTCTGCACCACTGTGTGAAATGGCATGTGTGAGCACCTGAAAAGGGCCTGCCGCATGACATGACCAATGTCTGCTTCCTTTTCTCCTCAGCAAACACTTAGCAGAGGGAGGCTGAGTAGGCAGGTGAGCCTGTGTCCTCTTCTTGAGAGACAGGGGATAGTCTTAAGTCTTCTTGTGTATTTGGAACAGGACGATGTCTCATCTCCTGCAGAGGGGACAGTGTTATCTTCCCACCATCCCAGGACCCTGGTTACCCTCTCCTCTGCATGCTGGGAGGGCATGAGACCAGGCTGGGATGACTGACTGGTCCATGAGGACTGAACCAGCACTTCTCTGAAGAGATAAGGAGATAGGCCAGGGTGGTGAATGACACGCGGAGTGACAGCTATCTCCTTCATAGGGAGCACAGGCACAATACTCTGCACTGAGGAGGAGGTCCAGGCATCATCGTGCCACCCACTGACACCCTGCCATCCCTTCCTAAGTCTCATCCTACAAGCTATGGGCAGCCCTTCCTGGTATGCAAGTATTCCCACGAGACATAGACGTGACACACGGTCTACAGGACAATCAATTCAGGGAGATGGGGCAGGTGTATAAGCATCCAGATGAGGGTCATGGCAGGGATGTCAAACTCACCTTCCCCAAGGTGTGGTGACTCTTGGCTGGAAGCTGGACAGATTGCCATGGGAGACCCTTCCCTCTGAAACTGAAGACCACAGAGTGTCAGAGAACCACATGTGTGAGATGCTGTCCCTCTACACTGTCTGCCATGATAGAAAGAGACTTTGTACTCACTGCTGCAAGAATAGACTAAGAACAGAAGCAAACATGATTCCTCTGAGAATAAGAAAACTGGGCCCGGTCACCCTCCACACTGGGCCATCATGAGACCACAGGTACCACTCCTCACCCCGCAGGCCTGGTGGCTCATGCCACACATGCCAGGGCCTGCACATGGGATTCCAGGACCTCCCTCACCCCTGGACACCAACCAGCATGGCTGTACATGGACTGTGCCCAACTCCATCCCTTCGGAAGCATCTCTCCTTCCCATGAAGTCCCTTCTGCTCCTTTGGTCTTTGTTCCCAGGCTCTGTCCCTTATCCCTGTCTTCTTGGCTCCACTAGGTCATTCATTAAAGTTCCTGACTCATGGAGTGTTCCATCCATGGTGTGTTGAATGTGTTTTGTCCATACAAAATGATCTAGAAGTTCTCAGACTGTGTTTTCCATCTTCCTCCTCACACAGTGCACAGGATACAGTGTCTTGGGAGAACCAGATTCTTTGGTTGCTGAAAGATTCTGCAAATGGGGAGGAAATTTAGCATTCCTGACATCCCTGAGTTGTGGGAGTGGGGTGGTGGTGGGATATGGGCTTCCAGGGTGTTCACAGGATGAGACACACGGGAGTCTGTGGACACCTTCTGTGTGGTTGGCTGCTGAGGTGTGCCTGGCAACTCAGCCTTCTATTAATATATCTGCCCCACTTCCATTGTGAGATGCACCGTGGCTCACCCATGGCACTTCCCACCTTCTTTACCTGCCCCACCACTATCTTGGCATGCCCTATGGCTTATTGCGCCACCCCCAGCCCCAACTTTCTCCAGCAGGATGTGCACAGTGGCTCACCTGTGGCCCCTCCCAGGCTCAACCACATCCTCCCACTCTCTCTATTTGTCCCATCTCCATCGTGACTCTTGCTGTGGCTCACCTGCGGCCCCTCCCACTCTCTATATTTGCCCCACCTCCATCATGATGCACACTGTGGCTCACCCACACCCTCCCACCCTCTATATCTGCCTCACCTCTGAGGTGATGACACTCTCTGTGGCTCACCCAAGGTCCCTCTGACCCTCTATATCCACCCCACTTCCAATGTGAGTAGCGCCATGGCTCACTGGCAGCCCCTGGGGTTAGTGCACCCACCTCTTCTTTCTGTCCCTCCTTGGTAGGTTTCCATTCATCTCTTGATGAGGAGACCCAGAGTTTCTGCTCACTGGCATGCTTGGGCTCTCCCAGGAGAGGTCTCAAGACAGTGTGGAGACTGAGGGCCCCTCTGGATTTGGACAATAGAGAGGTTCCAGGCAGGGTAACATTCTTGCAGATGTGCTGGCTTTTGGGGATGATTTGCAGAACCTTCCTGTGTGCCCTGCAGACATTTGAGGCCCAGTGGCTGATGGAGAAAAGGCCACACTCAGTAGACCCCTCTGTAGGGGATGTGCGATCAGCTCCTCTGTCTCTCCCCAAACGCCAGCTCTCCTCCTGTGGAGATTGTCTGCCTCCCTGAAGACGGAAACCCATGACTCAGAAACTGATTAAACAGTCCAAATAGCGACTGATAAATGGATTAACCCTCCGTAATGTAATTCCACCAGCTTTTGTCTTCCGCCTTCCCAGGTAGGCTTTCTGATCTGAGGCAAAGCGGAGGCCAGAGGGAATCATATTAAAGCGGGTGAATCCGTTTATCACTTGCTGTCTGGATGGGATTCCTGCTTGCCTATCTGCTTCCTCTGCGCTTTGCGCCCTGCGGGACCCTGGCACATGTGAGCCAATGAGTCACAAGCGGCAGCAGCGCTGGGTGTGGCAGGAGGAAGATACACGGTGGCTAAGGCAGATCCCAGGAGACTTTTCTTCTTGTTGAAAATGGGAGTGTGGACATGATGAGGAAATGCTCATAGTGGGGAGAGGGAAACAGGAATCAGAGGCGTTCCTCTTTGCACGGAACCCGCTTGAGGCTGTCCTGGCCAGCCCCAGAAACCATGTGGTCTTGGTACTCGAAGACTTGTGCTGTGCTCATAGGTCTTGCTTTTCAGATCACATGCCAGGACTTCTCTTACCTTTGCTTAGGAACTCCTAGCAGTGACTGGGAGTAGGGTAGCTGTGAGTTCATGTATTCTGTCACTTGAGACAGGTGCATGTACCCCTGCTTACCCAACCCCCGGTACAGAGCTGAGTGAGCACCTGGAAACCCATGTCCGATTCTAATTCTAGGTAAGGGGTCTGCAGGTGAGCTTGTGCCAGTGCTCTCCAGGGTCAGCAGGCCTGGGTTTCAGGGAGGCGAGGCTGAACTGGAATGGACAGCCACTGTGATGTCCATTCAAGCCCCGAGGGCACTGGTGGTATCCTTCTGGAAACAGCCACCCATTAGTGTGTGTTGGTTTTCCTCTTCAGGGACAGGCAGGATCTCCCAACCAAGACCCTCTCTCCCAGGGTCAGTCTGGGTTCTGACTGTCTTGCTGCCTCTGGCCATGCCTCTGCTCCTGGTTGCTGCCTGATACTCTGGCTAGGGCCCTGAGGCTGGCTGCTTGGGGCCAGGGACAGTTCACTGTGGCAGCAGGCCTTCTGGTGGTGCAGTCACCCAGGGGACAGGCAGAAGAGTGGGTGATTTATGCACAAACACAGAGCTGGGGCATTTTGTAGGAATTAATGTCAATGCTGGGTGACTTGCGAGACATAGGTACCATTAAGCCTAGGAGGACCCGAAGAGAAACCCAGCCCAACTCAGCACTGTGGTTGCAACAAAACCTCAGGCCCTAGACTTCACGCTCTTCTGGGAGCAGAGTCCACCACACTGTGGGTAGAGAGGAGGAGGCAGTCAGCATTTCAGCCTGAAATTGGGATTTTTTTCATGTCCCCACAGCCCAGAAAGGACCGGATGGAACAGTCATTCCCAATAACTACTGTGACTTCTGCCTGGGAGGCTCTGCCATGAACAAGAAGAGTGGACAGCCAGAGGAGCTGGTGTCCTGTGCGGACTGTGGACGCTCTGGTGAGTGCAGCCTGTCCCGCGTCATGTCCCTAGGCCAGGAACTGCTGCTTGTGTTCCTTGGCTGCCTTGGGCTGGAGGGCACAGGGGTCATGACAGTGGTGGTGATGCCGGTGGAGAGGGGTTTTCAGGTCACTGACATTTTTCTCGTTGGGTCTTAAGGACTGACAGTAACGCCTTAGGACCCAGGGCCAAGGGCCAAGGGACATTTGTGACTTGTGTCTAGCTTTCCTGCGAGGTGGGTATTTCTTGGTGTGTGTTGCTGTGAACCACCACAAGGTTGGGTGGAAACTTCCAGAGACTCAGTCAGCATGCCTCCTTGTGTTGGATGACACACCTATCAGAGAAGGAGTGTCTATTCTGTGCAAGTGCCTGGGCACACCTGAAGACCCTGAGAACACGTGTGTGGGGACAGCGATCGTGTTGTCAACCATGGGTATGAAGATCACTGGGCCCCGGGCAGCTGCGTAGATGCCATCTATGCTGGCCACCCAGCCCGTGTTTCTACATGGGACAGAAGAGGCTCCGAGAGACCCAAGCCCAGAGGGCAGGCATTTACTGGATTAGCCCAGGTTCCAGGTGGCAAATGTTTTTTGTTTTTAACCTATTGGAAACTAAAATAAGAGAAAGAGACCTTGCTCCTTCATCTTAACATGAATTTGGCCTCAAATCTTGTTCGAGCTGTTGTTTTGCTTTTCAGTTCTAAGCAAGTCAGTGTTTTCCAGCTGGTCCTGGCTGACTGGTACTACCCCTTTCTGTGCTCTGTCATATCAGAACTAGGCCCAAGTGCTGCTGAGTGGAGGCAGGATGTTGGCTCCATCTTGGTCTCAGCAACTGCTGACTGGGAGGTGCAGCACAGTTGGTCAGGTGGCTGGCTCAGTCTTGAGGACATGCCTCTTCTCCCTGCCTCTCTGTCTGGGGTCGTCTTCCCCAGTCCCAAGAGGAGGACTGAGGTGACCACTTCTGGTTTCTAGTATCAACTCAGCTTCCTTGCTCTGTCCGTAGACCTTGGCGCTAACCCTTGACACGTGGATGTCAGGTCGTTTAGAGCTCAAGATTGACACTCAAGTTCAAGAGAGGACCATCACACGACCCCTACACTGATCTTTCCTGGACCTGATGGGGGGTCCCTGTGTGTAATTCTGTCAGTTCAGTCACTGTCCAATCATGATACTGAACATTGAACTTAGACAGGGCCTTGTGCTATCACAAGGACTCTGGTTTTTAGATACTTAAAACAATGAAGCACTGAAATTCTATTCTGTGTTTTGTAAAAGTGAGCCATCAAATGGGCTCCCTGCTGCCAGAAGCAAGCTTGCTTAAGGCGGCTAAGGCAGATGAGGGATCTCCCCATAGTGTCATGGCCAGCCAGCACCTCCGCTGGGCTGGTGACAAGGCTGCAGGGTTCTCAGCCAGCCTGTCTTACTTCCCCCTTCTTTCTTCAAAAGTTGGGGTGCTTGAATGAAGCTCATGAGCACCAGAAAGGGGAGGCTGTCTTTCTGCATGAAGCCTCCTTCCACAGTCTCCTCCCAGCTTTGCCTAAGTGCTGTCCCCTGGGATGCGGGGTCCTGCAGGCCAGCCTAGGTGCCCTCTGTGCATCTTCTGGGGGTTTAGCTTGGCGGATCACTTAGTTGAAGTCTGAGCCTGAAGCCCAACTGGAGCAGTTGGCATCTGGGGAATATATCAGGTGGCATTAGCCTGCAGGATATGCTGGGGAGGGCAAGTGCAGGATCCTTCCTGGGATCCCTCAGATCTTTCTGGAGAGCAGCATGGGCTTGGAAGAGCTGCCTTACCTTCCCTGTCTGCCCTGTCACTGCTGCTTTCTGGGAGAAAGTGAGATTCCCAGAATCAGCACCACAAGGGTCCTGTTGTGACCTGGTGCTGGGTGGGCCCAGGTACATTTGGAAAGTGACGAGCTCAGCCCTGAGATCACAGTCTTCAGGATGCTCTGTCTTGGGAGGCTTCTCCTACCCCCAGCTCTCACTCTCCCAATGCTCTGAGTTGAATATGACAACTCAGGACTTTCTGGAATGACTAAGACCTGAGCATGTTAGGTGGCTGGAGTATGTGCGGGCGTGCGTGCATATTTGGGAACAGATCATGGAAACTTCCTCCAGTGGTTAAAGAAAACTAGAAACTCTTTTGCTACTACCACTTGTCAGACTCTCCAACTGCCTTTACTCTCGATGCAGATGAACAACATGGCGTCGGGGCAGAATTGAAAAGGTTCTGAGAGAATGGGATTAGAAGCGGATACACACAGAAATGAAACAGACTGAGGCTTAGCTGCCTCGGATGGGTGGTCTGACAGTAACGCCTTTGTAAACTGACTGTCAAAGTGAAGGACACTGTTCACAGAAACACCCACCAAAAACAGCAGCGCAGTGCTGGCCAGGATAAACACCAAGATGGTGGTGGGCGGGTGTCCACAGGGCAGAAGGAAGCTCAGGGGTGATTCGTGGTCGGAAGCTGTGGACATATGTGTTGTGGTGGAGACGGTGCCTTTTCGGGGAGAGGGAAGCTGCCTCCCTGTAAATGTTTGCCGTGTCCCCACCCCCATCACCAGGTGACGTGCCCCGGTCAGCCCCTTTTGGTGTGGAGCGGTGTGTGGTCTTGCTGTTGAGAACAGCTGTAGTGGCGTCGTGAGAGTGTTAATGATGCTGTCTGTTGCTTGACACTGTGCTGATATATTCATCATACATGTCAGCTCATTTGGGAGGAGAAGGCAGGAAGGAGGCGGCGGCCGCAGCGCGCACCACGGAGGACTTATTCGGTTCCACGTCAGAAAGTGACACCTCAACTTTCCACGGCTTTGATGAGGACGATTTGGAAGAGCCTCGCTCCTGCCGGGGACGCCGTGGCAGCCGAGGGTCGCCCACAGCAGATAAAAAGGGCCGTTGCTGAGGCCACAGGCCAGATGCTCGGGCGGCTGGCCATCCCCGTGACTCTGGCCGTGGTGCGGATTCCGATCTCTCCTTTATGTGAAGACAACATTAGGTGTCCCCTCTCCTTGCTTTGCCCTCAGTTCCTGCGTGTCCCACCCCTGCCACCCTCTGTTTTGGGTCTGCACGACAGAAGCACAAATGACTGAAACAAAACCGAACAAGAGAGCAGATGAGTCCCTCTGAGACTGCCTCGTGCTGCCGTGTGTCCTCTGTAGCGCATCAGGCGGATGGTCTCTCTCGAGGGAGGGGCCTTCTGGGTGTGAGCAGAGTTGACTTCCTCCATTTTCGTATTTATTGTTGAAATGACGAGAAGAACTTTGGGTTTGAAAACAAAAAAACCAATAACATGAAAATTATTATTTATATATTCTAGCTATTATCAGAGTCAGACTTTTTTTTGAGAGTAAGAAGGGAAATCATGGAAGTTGAAGTAATGTCCTGTTTAGGGTGAACCCTGGGGAGTGTGTCCCCACGGGGTCTGCAGCTCCTAGGGAGACCATTCGAGTCTCCTCCCAACCTTCCATCCTCCCTTGCTTGTGAGGAGACAACAGCCCTGGGAGGTCGGCGCGCCTGGCCGCCTCCTGGCCCTGCATCTGCTGGCAGCTGCTGACCTGTTGCCAGGTCCTCCTCACGCTCCTCCTACAAGAGCCACCCCCAAGCATGGGAACAGTGTATGAGCAGAAGGTCAAGGTGCTCGTGGAAGAAGGAAGGGCGCCCGTGGTGTGTCTCCCTTGTCAGCTGATGACGCCGGGACCTGGATGGTCAGGCCTCCTGCGTTTTTGCTGTTTTCACAGTGGCCGCCAGGCACCTTGTTTTGTTTCCAATAGCGCCTCCTGGAAGGAAGCCAAGTGGCACTGCTGGAGGCCTGGGCATGGAGGACGCCACCGCCTCCCTGACACCTCCCAAGAGAGATGACTGCGAGGTCCCCGTCCAAAGGTACGTCTTGGCTGGCCTGGCCTGCCACATGGGCAAAACCATCATGCTTTTTTTCAGTTTTCTTTTTCTTTCTTTTTCCTTTCCCTCAGCTTGTGTTTTCATTCTCCTGGGTTTGGACCCCTTTAGAGTGGGAACAGTGGCTGGCATGGCTCCTGCCCTTGGTGGCTGTGTGTGTGGTACCCAGGGCCTGGCAGGGCAGAAAGCCAGTGTGCTTGGCTTGGGGTCGGGGCTCTGCGTGGGTAGCATGGGCTCTCACTTCTAGCTTTGGCTACACAGGAACAAGGGGAACAGCTGGGGTGGTGCTTGGCTACCTCTGCCTCCCTTGGCTGGACCTGTAGGTGGAGGCTAGGACTGAGGCTGGACTTGGCAGGGATGTGGAGGTGTTGCCACGGGTGCTGTGTGGCCGAGTGGTACTCCCTTTTTGGGTACCAGTTTCACAGCCAAGGGGATGAGTCCCAGTGGAAGAAGACACCTGACTAGGCCCAACACTCAGCCATCCTGAAGACTCTGAACTTTCTGTGCATGGTGAGGGTCTCCAGCTGGGGAGTGTGGTTCTGCAGCTGTGGGCAGGGCCTTTGACTTGGGTAGGGAGATCCAGGTGGCTGCTTCTGAGTGTCTGGGAAGTTCAGCTTTGACTACCAGCCTTTGCAGACCTTTATGGATTAGACGCATATTAAAAAAAACCAGCCAACCCAGCTAAAGCAAGAATGGGTAGAGAGGCCTTGCTGGGCCTTGGTGCGGGGCTGGGGCTGAGGCAGAGGGGCTTCCTTCCTTGTGGGAGGGCTGTATGCTCACCTGGCATCCACCCTCCGTCTTCAGAGCAGATATGGCAGCCCCGTCCCCCCAGGGGATTCTGCCTAGCCTGTTTGTGACCTGTTTTGGGAAGCATGGCACCCTGTGTTGGGATGTTCCTCATGCTCATGTGCAGAGAGTCAGGTGGCTGGCTGCAGTTGGCTGGTCCACTGGAGGCACAGCTCATGCCCCCTGCCTGTCCTCCCTCCCTTGGTGCCTCCACTCCGACCTTGGATTCATAGGGTTGCACCTTACGCCACCTTGATGAAATGTGAGCTTCTGCGTGAAGTCATTCAGCTATTCACGCTCCTGTCTGCAGTCTGTCTTGCAATTCTCAATGACAGTTTGCCTTTGACTTGAGTTTTTTTTTCTTTTTAATCCACATAATTAAAGCCAATAGTAAAAGGCAACCTAGTTTCAGAGTCTAGTCCATGTTTGGATGGGAACCAGAAGTCCAGAACTGCCTTACCAGGCAGGCCCTAGGGGAAGACTTACCTGAGGATGCGTGCTACCTGTCTATGCTATTTTGAGTAGCACAGCTCGACCCTCAGGTTCACCTCAGGTGATAGTCTCCTCTCTGGGGGTAGCCAGCATGAGCCTGGGCACCTGTCTTAGTGTTGCCTGAACATTCACCTCTCCTTTCTTGTGGTGTCCTTGAATAGACCCAGAATTTATGCCCTTAAAAATAGAACCAGAAGGGGCATTTAAGATGATCAGGTTCACATCTTTCACTCTGCAGTTGGGAGAAGCTTACCTGGAGAGTGTGCATGAGTGGAGTTCAAGGGGTGGAAAGGATGTTGCTTTGGGCCTGTGTCTTAAGACAGAGGAAGGAACTGAGAGAAGGAGCAGGAGGGGGATGTGGCCTCCTGGGCTTCCAGTCATGAGGCAGATCGATGTTAGGTCTTCTCCCCTTTCTCTAGAGAGCAGCGGTCAGCTTCATGTGCGAGGCGTGTTCTGGTGCTTTCCTTGGATTATGACCCTCACAACTGCACCCCAGCTTGCAGATGGGGAAATTAAGAAGGTTAAGATGTGCACAGCTAGTAAGGGGCCTGACAGCCAGAATCTAGAACCGACCCTTCATGATCGCTGGGCCTGCCCCGTGCATAGTCTTTATGGTGACGATATGTATAAATATATACATATGTGTATGTATGTGCATAGATGCTTTGCTTTTCTCAGTTTCACTTGAAGAAAGGGTATTTAAAGGAAAATAGCTTTAAAAGCTAAACTTACTAAAGGCAATTTCAGCAACTGAAGAGCAGACAACTAGATCCTGTAAAAGAGGATTCAGATTAAGATTTTGTGCAGAACATTATAAATAACTCATCTTTTTTTTTGAGTTGGAGTCTCTCACTCTGTCACCCAAACTGGAGTGTTGTGGCATGCTCCCGGCCACCACAGCCTCCACCTGCTGAACTCCGGTGATCCTTCCGCCTCAGCCTTCCAAGTAGCTGGAACTACAGGCGTGTGCTACCACACTGGCTAATTTTTTTTTTGATTTATTGTAGAGATGAGGTCTCACCAAGTTGCCTGGATGGGTCTCGAACCCATGGGCTCAGGCAATCCACTCGCCTCGGCCTCCCAAAGTGCTGGGATTACAGGCTGAGCCACTGAGCCCAGCCCGATAACTTATTCTCTAAACCATCATTTCCAGACATTCCCTCCTAGTGTCTGAAGACAGCTCCTTTTTGGTAACTTCAGAAATTTCATTGGTATACCTAACCCTTAACTGTACCCCACAATTTTAAAATAAAAAAATACATAATAATAAAAAAAGAAATTTCAGGAGCTGTGTAAGCAAACACACTTGTCTTTCTGTTGTTGCTTTTGTTAAATAAGTATCAGATTTCAGAATACAAATTAACTTAGTCATCTGGATGAAAATGATCTGACTGGCTTCCCCTGTCCTCAGCTCAGGGATGTGCCATACAAATGCGCCAGAAACAGCACCTGATTTTCCCTCTCAGCCCAGAGATAGGGGAAACAAAGACATAGCACTTTGTAAATGTGTTACAACATTCAGATCCCCTGGGGCTTCTGTTGATGCCAAGGTGACTACTGTTGTCTATCTGACGTTAATGTTACTACCTAGAACAATTGAATCCTTTATTTATATTACTGAGAGATCAGATACCATAATCATGATAACACTGGGAATTAGAAATACACATTAAATACACATTTAATTTTTTAAAGGTACTCTAAGTCAGTAATCCAATTTGCAACTAGTGTTTCAGAGAGGGATTTAATAAGAAACACCATGTTCAATCCACAGCAGCCCTGGCGCCATCCCACGTGCTTTGTGTCTCTCCATGAACATTGTGGGGCTGCCTGGTGCTGCCTTCACAGAAGGGGAGAGGGACAGGAGAAAAAGGGAGGGGGATGAGCAAGGCCTTCAGAAAGGGAGACAGTGGCTGTGGGGAGCGGAGAGGAGAAGGTGAGGAGGAGGATGGTGGACAGAGAGAGTCTCTGCTTTGGAATTATATAATCCAGACCTGCACACCTGGCAGGAGTGATGCCTTGGGTACTAGAAGGAGAGGTGAGAACTTGAGTACTAGAAGGAGAGGTGGGGCTTTGGGAACTGGAAGGAGAGCTGGGCTTGGGTACTCTAAGGAGAAGTGGGGCCTTGGATACTAGAAAGAGAGGTGAGGTGTTGGGTAATAGATGGAGAGGTGGGGACTTGGATATTGGAAGGAGAGCTGGGGCCTTGGGTACTAGAAGGAGTAGTGGGGCCTTGGGTACTGGAAAGAGAGGTGGAGCCTTGAATTCTAAGAGGGTACTGGAAGGAGAGGTGGGGCTTTGGCCACTAGAAGGAGAGTGGGTACCTGGGTATTAGAAAGAGAGGTGGGTCCTTGGGTATTGGAAGGAGAGGTGGGGCCTTGGGTACTAGGAGAAGAGTTGGGGCCTTGGGCACAAGAAGGAGAGGTGGGTCCTTGGACACAAGAAGGACAGGTGGAATCTTGGGTGACAGAAGGAGAGGTGGGGCCTTGGGCACTATAAGGAGAAGCGGGTCTTGACACTAGAAGGAGAGGTGGGGCCTTCGGCACTGGAAAGTGAGGTGAGCTTAGGCTAGAAGGAGAGTGGGTTCTGGGTACTAGAAGGAGTGGTGGGGCTTGGGTAATACATGTGTATAGATTTGGGTGCTATCTGGTTCGTGAAGTTGAGCTGCTCTTGGTTTTTGATGTACCTTGGCCATGTTCTATGTAGGCCCCTGTTTTCTTTTATTCTTCTCTTCCCGCTCTGCTTTGTGTGATCTGGGTACCTGTCTTCGCCCTCAGGAATGGTTTTGGATCAATGGAGGTCACTTGGTTCAGTGCCTGATCCCGGGGTTTACCTTTCGTTCTAAACACCAAGATAATGCAGCAGGTATCTTTCTAGCATGTCTGTGCCTTGCTGGTTCCCATCCAGGCTGTTGGGCCATGCGATGTGAATACAACCAGGGTCCCAGGCTGATGCTGGGGTCACAGGTCAGTGCAGGATGGAGTGGTTCTTGACTGTGTTCTCTCCCAGTAACTGACACCCTTGAGTCCTGGGGCCTGATATGGTGTGTGCTTGTGACGTGGTGTCCTCTGGCCTCTGGTGGATCCTTCACTGGGTTCCTGTGGCTGAGCTGGTCTATATCACAGGATACTCATTTTCACTGCATGACAGGCAGGCTGGTTGCATTCTAGAGGTCCTCTGTGGGGTGTTCTAACTGTGGCAAGATCAGTGTGTGTGGTTTCTCAGTAGAGGAGAAACACAAGTTCTCTGCGCACATCTGGTATGGCCTGCGCCATTGCCTAGGAACAAAAGTCCAGCCATGTCCTCCATCTCTGCCCAACAGTGGTGGGTGACCTTCCTATTACTGGCTGACTGTGTGATGTCCAAGGCCCTGGGGACATAGCCTGGTTTTGCCGTACATGGTGGTAGACTCATTAGTGTGGCCATTCGCTGTTGGCTTTCTTTTTTTTTCTTTTTAATTCATTTCATGTCTGCCACCCTCTTAATTTGAATCTTTCTTTTTTAGGTAGTTGTTCTGTGCTGTTGTTTTTTGTTTTATCTTTCATTGCCTTTCCCTCTGCAGTCAACTCTATGACCTGGGGATCCTGGCATCCTTCAAGCAAGTCATTTCCGAAGAAGGTGGAAAGAAGCCAGGATGATTGGTGTCTCCGCCTCCTCCTCCCCTGCCCGGCTCCCTCCTGTGCATGTGTTTCAGCCAACCCAGGAGTGGACTGTCTTCCAGCAAAATTCAACTCAGCTCAGAGAAGTCTCGGGAATGGCCTTCGTTTGTGTAATGAGAAGATCCCTTTTCTTTTTTTAAAATACTTCACCACATTTTCTTTGTCTGTGAGAAAGTACCCAGGTCAGACTGGAATTGCTCTACAATAGAAATAACTGAACATGAACAAACTGATGGAAAAAAAAAGAGTTAACTATTTTATTTATTTCAATATTTAAAGAAAAGAGTGCTGACCCTGCACAGTATTTTTGTTTAAAGTACCTTTCGCTTCAAAACTTAAAAGCAATTTTGTGAAGACATGAAATGAAAAGAGTGCTTAATGTAAAATAAAGACTGCATATTAACACTAAGGAAAAATGCCCCACACTTTAATAAGAAAATAAAAGTCAGCTCTGCTCTCTCAGGCTTTTCAAAGGACCATTCGTATATGTCCTGTAGATATTTTTATTTCTTGCTAGTTGGATGTGGCAAGTGAAGAGTGATAGACTTTTCTCCTTCTTCAAAGATCTCTTGACCGTGTTGGTGATGTTCAGTGACTGTGTGTTAAGACTGGACTGGGATCCATTAACCACAGAGCAGCCATTTCCCCTAGCCCTGCTGCCCCCTCACCCTGGCAGGCCTGTTCTCTGAATGGGAAACAGCCTGCCTCCTGGTCTTCGTGTCTGATGAGACCTAGCTCAGAAAGGCATCCCAGCCGGTGGTGGGATAGATCTCCACAAGTTCAACAGATTCGACATAGCTTTGTTTAAAATATTGCAGCCAAAGATAAAATAGCAAAAATAAAAGCATCAACTGAGTTAGGAGTTTAGTTGCCTGACAGCACCCAGAGGAGATTGGCCAAGGGGGTCTCCCAATGAGCTGGCTTTGGGGCCTGAGATCTGAGAGCTGTCCCCAAGGGCTAGGGAGGCCAACTGGATGACAGAAGCCTCAAGTTCAGCTGTTGGTGGAGGCCTCGGAAGGAGAGCATTCTCACGTATCCCTTCATGACTGTGCTGGTGGAGGTGGGTGTTAGGGCCGACAGGATGAAACTCAGCCATGTGTCTGGGACCCTGCAAAGGAATGGGCTGACTGGTTGGGCACTGGCTTCTACCCCCAAGTTCCCCATCAGGCTGGATTGGGTTTTTCACATCCACTCTCTTGGGTTTCCCTCCCTTGTGAACCGAGTCTTGATGACTCAGGTGCAATCTTGTCAGCAGTGGTCCTTGAGCCACAGTGTTACTGAAGTGGCCTCTGAAAGGGAAGGGTGGGTGGGCACAGGCTTCCTCCCTATCCTTTCAGGCATCCTGTTCAGGGCCAGTCCTGGTGGTGGGGGGATCACCAAGACTGTTTTGAATCATTTTGTAGCCCTTTTCTGTGACGTTTTCTGGTAGAAAACGTTCCTTGTCAAAATGCTAATAATTATAACAATCTGCTCTCCAGTCAACTCCCACAAATTACATGTGTAGAATTGTGATAAAGGTTTGCTTATCATAGGGTTTGTATTACATTTGTGTAAGTTTCTGTTAATAAAAGACTGTTTCTAATGCTCCTATAGCATCTCTGTAAAATTTGCTTGACCAACCAGCCTCATCCTACTTGAGTTCAACTTTCACACCGTCATGTGGAAGGGGCTCCTGGAAGGATTACACCCACTTGCATACCCATGATTTGGTGAACCCTGTCATTTGATTTATAAGTGCAGTCTGGAACAGTCCTTGCCACTGACTTCACTGACAGGTGTTGTCATGGAAGGGAGCCATGCTCAGGACTGGCACCAGCATTCACTCTCAGGCCCAGGGTTGCTGTCACCCACTGTCACTACCACCATCCCCATCCCTACCATCACCACCATCACCATCATACCCATCACCCCCATCACCCTATCACCATTCTCATCACCATCCCCATCATCATCATCACCATCCCATCACATCATCCTCACCACCACCAACACCATCGCCACCACCACCATCACCATCATCACCTTTATCATCATCATCACCATCATCACCATCATCATCACCACCACTACCATTACTATCATCCCATCACCACCATCATCATCATCATCATCATCACCACCATCACCATCACCATCACCACCGTCATCACCACTATCACCATCACCTTCACCACCACCACCATCATCACCACCACCACCATTACTACCATCCCATCACCACCATCATCATCATCACTATCACCACCATCACCATCACCACCGTCATCACCACTATCACCATCACCTTCACCACCACCACCATCATCACCACCACCACCATTACTACCAGCCCATCACCACTATCATCATCATCACCATCACCACCATTACCATCACCATCACCATCACCACTGTCATCACCACTATCACCATCACCTTCATCACCACCATCACCATCATCATCATCATCACCACCACCACCATCGCCACCATCCCATCACCACCACCACCATCATCATCACTACCATCATTATCATCATCATCACCACTGTCCCCATCCCCATATCCATCATCACCTCCTATCATCACCATTAGCATCATCACCACCATCACCATTATCACCATCATCATCCTTCCATCTCCATTACCACCATCACCATCATCACTACCATGACCATCCCCGTCATCATCATCACCATTAGCACTGTCGCCATCACCATCATCGCCTCCCCATTACCATCACTACCATCATCATCATATCATTATCACCACTGTCATCGCCACCACCATCATCACCACCACCATCATCACCATCATCATCATCACCATCCTCCCATCCCCATCACCACCACCCTCATCACCATCATTCTCACCACCCTTACTATAGCATCACCGTTATCATCACTGTCACTGTCACTGCCACCATCATCACTGTCATCACCACCATCACCATCCTCCCATCCCCATCACCACCATTATCATCATCACCATCATCACCATTGCCATCTTCACCACCATCGTCACCATCATCATTGCCACCATGACTATCCCCATCACCACCATCACCATCACCACCACCACCACCCCGTCATTACTGTTACCACCACCCTCACCATCATCATGCCCACTACCATCACCATCATCACCATTATCACTATCATCATCATCATTCCTATAACCACTATCACATCACTATCATCACCATCATCACTCCTACTATCACCATCATCATCATAACCATCTCATCATCAATACTGTCATCATCTCCATCTGTATCATCATCACTGTCACCATCTTCAGCACCACCATCATCATCTTTGCCATCCCCAACTCCACCATCATCTCTATCACCACCACCACCACCATCATCATCACCATCATCACCGTCATCATCACTATCACCATCCCCACCATCATCATCACCATTAGCACTAGCACCATCACCATCATCACCTCCCCATCATCATTGTCACCATCACTATCCTCATCATCACCATAACTACTACTACTTTCACTATTTCCATCACCACTATCACCACCACCACTATCATTACCATCACCATCACTATCACCATCATCACCACCATCTTCACTACCACCATCATCACCACCACTACCACCATCACTATCACCATCATCATCCTCTCTATGGCTAAACTGGATACATTGAAAGCCTGATTATATGTACAGTCTTAGTATACCTGTTCAATGTTGCTGTCACACTTGTGCCAAGAATAGAAGTTTTGCACAAAAATGCAAGACTTAGTGTGAGTTTGAGCAAAGATAGGAGGATTAATGTCTCTGTTGCCTGAAATGTGCTCTTGTTGTAGTCTCCCACACTACCATTGGCACAGCTGTAAGCTCAATCCCCAGGATAGGCTCTTCCTGTGAGAGATGATGGATATTCTTATCTAATGGCCCCCCTAGGTTAGATTAAACCAGGTCAGCATGGTAGGTCAGGGCGTGTTGCCCTCTGAGCACGCCAACCCCAACCGGGCAGGTGGAGATGAACATGACATTGTAATACTGCTGCCAGTGTGCTCTTTCTTCTTTTAGACTGAAGATCACAATGTGACTCTCATTGTTGACTTTATAAGTTTCCCTAGCAGTAAAAAGAAAGTTTTCCACCCCAATATGGTTTTTATAATTATGGTAAAACATGCATAACATAAAATGTACCATTTTAAGTATACAGTTCTGTGGCATTAAGTACATTTGCATTGCTGTGCAACCGTAACCATCATCCATCTCTAGAACTCTTTCATCTTCTCCGCCTGAAAATCTGCACCCTTTAAACACCAACTCTCTATTCCCTCCTCTTCCCAATCCCGACAGCCACCATTCTACTTTCTGCCCTGTGAGTCTGACTTCTCTGAGTACTTCATATAAGTGGGATCATATAGTATCTATCCTTTTGCCACCAACTTATTTTATTTAGTAAAATATCTTAAAGGTTCATTCATGTAGATGTGTCAACGTGTCCTTCCTTTTTAAAGCTAAATAATATTTCATTTTATGTATAAGCCACATTTTGTTTATCCATGTGTCTGTTGATGGGCACTTGGAGTAAATAGGAAGTTTTACATATTTGTTACACACAATCACTGCCAGTATTGACTTAAAATTTGAGACATTACACTCAATTCAGAAATCACCTAGGCAATGAAGTCTCTTCTTCTGAGGGATGTGATTGCACCAGAACTCTTCTAATTTACTCCCTAGAAGAGGGTACTCTGGTTCTGATGGGCAAGTGCTTTCCACCAAGATGTTTTTCCTCATGTGAAGGCTTTCTTTGTAGCTATTATCTCTGGGATAAGAGGTCTGGCATGGGGCTATGATAATATCCATGCAGATAACTCGTGATAGAGGAGAGCCTGGTTCATGGTGGTAGGCAATGAGTCAGGGTCTACTGGCTAGTGGTTTGCCAGGACTGCATGTGCTTTATGTCTGTAGATGGCCACTGGCTGAGCGGGAGGGGGCACACTATGCGGGAGGGCTGAAGAATGAGAAGGGGAAGGACAGGACGTTCTCATCCATCCTTACTAGCGAGGGTTCGCTCAGATCCTACAGAGCAGGGTCTTTGGTGAGTGAAGTAGGCCAGGTATGAGAAAGGTGCTCATGCCTGGGAGGCAGGATACCACCCTTGATCTCAGCCTCAGGTCACAAGAGGACAGCAGGAATGGCAGGCGTGGGTAGAGCCAGGGAGCGCCAGTGTCCTGGTGATGGGGTGGGGCACACCACATGGCTCGAGGATTTCAGCCTGCACGAATGGGCCTAGGGCTCCCAGGCTTCTGGTTTTTCTTTTCTTTTTTTTTAGAAAGCTGGATTTACTGAGAGGACAGAAAAGCTCCCACAGTGGGAGGGGATCTGAGGGGGTTGCTCTGGTTTTTCAAGAGAAGCCAAAAAATTTAAAAGATTTTGGTGAGAGCTCTGCATTTTTAAATGTTGGTAGTAAATTAACAATGAACACTGCAGGCTGGCTGTGGACTAGGCC